TGTATTTTATTTATTAATGAAAATTTTTCTGTAGAATTTTGGAGTCTTTGTTTTCATCCTTGTGGTATCGAAAATGGTATCGAGTTGAAAAGTTTAGTATTGTTTTAACCCTACCTCAGAGTGTGAAGCATTTTCATTAGAAGGGTCTGTGATAATTTGTATTACTAGCAAAACAAACAACAAAGATTCAATTTACAGAAATCATAGCTTGCAGACTAAGTTTGAGTTTGAGTATCAGAACGAAAAGTTGCCCTGGGATTGATTTTAATCACAAAATGTATGAATTTATTCTTCTCTTTTATTTTTTTCAATCAATGAAGCTATATTGCCTGATTTACATTCAGTGAACAGCTTCAGCACAGAGATATGCTATTAGCTTGACAGTGCATCTTTTGAAGCAAATCCCTCCATGTTAGAGGTTCTGAATTAGAGAGCAAAAACTCTGGATTGCGACTATTTTGCAGAGGCAAAGATATTTTGATGAATTCTGGCACCAGACCTAGTGGGGTAAGGGAGAAGATTAGCACAACAATACTGCTCTCAATGCAGAAAGACCTTTGAAACAGAAAATGTATTTTTAATCTATGACGAATACTGCAGACCGTGTGAATAGGGGAGGATCCTAATGACTTCCAAATCTAACAACGAATATTAACATTGCGTCCTTTTAATCAAGAGGATAACAATCAGCATTGTGCTGCGGATTCAATCCACAAAACTTTGTCTGAGACTATAAAACAGAGCAGCTTGTCACTGACAGATATGAGAGAATGAAGACAGCTGTGTCCAGTCAAAATATTCCCTAAAAGTAAGATTTAAAACTTGATTTTATTAAAAGGTTTGTGAGGATGAAAGCCTAACAACTCCTAGAGTTAGAGCTCTGTCTGTTTTATAAGAATATACAGGTTTATGAAAGGTGACGTCAGATCATATCGCTGTCCTCTTTAAGAGATTAAACCCTTTCTGCCCTCTTCAAAAAGGGACTAGACAACTGTGAAGATACCCAGAGACAGAGTCGCTTTTTTCCACCCGATCCTCTGAGCCGCCAGAGCATAAAGAAAAGAAGTCCTTTGTATTTGCTGATCAATACATCAAATCAAACGTCAGGGTGATGCACCGTGCACTCAGATAACTGCTTTCTTTTCCCCTACTCTAAACTTGGCATTCAGCCTCTTAGTTCCCCAAGGTCTTCTTTGAATTTAATTCCCCGTGCCACTAAGCTTCAGGCAGACTTATCACAAAATAACTTTTTTTTAACCATTCAATCAAAACACCAACATCTGGAAAATGTCAAAGATCAGTTTTTTTTCAATAGAATGGGCTTTAAAAAAAGTTTACATAGTTAAACATGTTAAATATTGCTTCCTAAAGAATTTTTAAACTGGAAAAACTCAAAATATTGTAGCTAAAATATTTGATCTTACTTTTTACATCCTTATATATAAATATATGAATATAAAGCCCCCTTAAGACCAGATGAAGACCATTACTTCCAGGGTCCCAGAGGTTGTTTGAATATGGTTAGATTTAGGGCTGAAACAATTAATCAGATTATTTGTGATTAATCGAGTATTGACATAATCATCAACTAATTTAGCATTCGATAAATCGTTCACTGGAGTATAGAGACTCTAAAACATGCCTTTAGTTGATAGAGAAACCCATTTAGAGCAGCAATTATATCAAAATTGTAAAAAAATATATATATATATATATATATATATATATATATATATATATCAACATGTTGCATTCAAGATAAGTCAGTAAGGTCTATCCAGAACTCCTTAAGGGGAAAAGTTTGAGTTTCACCTTGTTTAATTTCATAAGTCTTCTTTAAGAAACTTTTAGCAGTTTGGTACCTTGCCGGCTTGTTTTGTTTGTATGACTGCCATTGTGGAAAACGCTAGAAGGAGTGCAAGAACGCTGGGACCCTTTTTCCACCTGGATCCCCGCTCTTTTTCACCCTCATGTCCACCCATTGACGCACAAACCTGCCCCCACTTCCTCACCGCCTCGGCCGTATCTAGACCCACAGCTAGTTCCTGATTGTCCCTCTTGCGTTGTGGCGTGGAATAACATAGCGCAGACCACGCTTCAATACTGGGCATAAAT